GTGTGTGTGTGTGTGTGTGTGTGTGTGTGTGTGTGTGTGTGTACAGAGCCTGGATGTCCTTTTGCGTCACCCAGAGGACAACAGGAACCAGATCCGAGAGTTGGCCCAGACCCTGATGGACGGAGGTGTCCTGGATGAACTGATACAACAAAAACTGGATGCGTTCAACACACGATGGGACGAACTTATGGCCAGGGTAAGATTCTTTATTTACTCTAAATAGTTTTTAGTTCGTACATTTCCCCACGTCACCCTTCCCTTTATTCTAGTCATCATCACCCATCATCGATATGCTCTCAGCCTGTTGTGGTGATGCAGCAGATTAATGTTCTCCCTGCAAGACTTTGTTTGTCAGCCCATCTGAGACATTGAGTGTGTGTGTTGGTGTGTGTGACAAAGCCCTATGTTTCAGATGTTTCAGACTTTTTTCCATTTTGTGTATCCTCACTGTTCGTGTGCCTCCTTTCATATGGCGTGTATGTCAGCATGTGGATGAGGCAGCGCGGCTCTGAGGCCTGTTTGTTTGTCATCTATAAAGAAGAGAGAGACACGTTCGTGAATCTGTCTGGAAAAGAAAGTTAAAGCACACAGAGACCAAAATAATGCCTCAAGGTTTTTTCTTCTTTTTTGGACCAGAGGGGACTGTGTTGAGTGAAACCTTTTGTTGTTTATTGCTTGCATACTGACTTCATCAGTGCAGTATGAAGGACACACTCAAATCTCACATTTATTCCGTAACCTTTCCTGGGACTATGAATTCATTCCAGTGTGATTTGATTCAAACTTCTAGTCCTAGATATCAAAACAAACGTGTTGGATTTCTCTTTTAGATTTCAACACTGAAACACAATCTTAAAGAAAATAAAAATCTAACTCACGGAAACAAACAAATGTAAAAAAAAGTGACTGTATAATAAAATATAAATACAAGCGATCTGGAGGAGGTATTTAGAATTGAACCAGCAACCCTGACCAGTGGAGTAATCTAACACCAGCTCACATCAACACTATTTCATTTGCTCTCCCTAATGACCTAAAACTGCAGATGTCATTCAAATCAAAGTTAGACATTATAAAAATATATTTCTTATCTACTTCCTACTTTTTAGGCAAAGAAAAATGTTATCATCATCAGTGCAATAACTCAAAGTCAACACTTCCTTAGCATCCGAGCCAAGAGTCTGATGAGTGCAGGGCTCCGAGCAAATGCTGACACAGAGATGGGAATATAATTTCATTATATCAGTGTCCCTCTTTAAACCTCAGCCTGTGAACAAACAATGCTGTTACACATCTCCGGCGTCTTCAGATCACAGAGGCATGTTTGCCATTTTAATTTCAGCTCCTTGTAACGGCTGAAAACCAATAAGAGGAAGTGCGGTGTGGAGAACGCTGCTCGTGCTTTGCCGCTGGCATTTTCCAACACAAAGCATTTAAGCAAACAATGATCCTCTATCTCCCTTGTTCACAATCACTGCATTCGTTCCTGAGATTGTGTATGTGTGTGCATGTGTGTGTGTGCATGTGTGAAATAAGTAATAATGGAAAACTGAGTGTTTAATGAGAATATGTAGTCATGAGCCGACAATTGCTAGGGAAATGGAGTACATCGCCGCCGGGAAGATTGTTATCAGTGTTGCCTAAATATTTAATCTCACTTAAATTCTCATTTCATACATTATAAACTAAGACATGGGAGCGAGACGGACGAAAAAATCCTATGAGAAATCCACAAGTAGCATTAGGAATACTGTGTGTGTGTGTTTGTGTGAATACTGTGTGTGAATACTGTGTGTGAATACTGTGTGTGTGTGTGTGTGTGTG